CTCCTCGCCTGCCTGGCTGCCTCCTGTAGTCGGCTCCTCAGTCGAAGAAACATACATCGGCGCACGCGAAGGGACCGGCAGAACCTGTCGAGGGCCGGCAGCGGCACGGGCTGCTGGCGGTGGGGGAGCTGGGTAGTCGAAGCGGAACACAGTGGGAGAACCAACAACACGCTTCCGCGCAGTGCGGATAAAGCGTGGGCCACGGCGGGAGGAAGCGACTGGGGTGTGACCAGGAGTGTAGGAAAGGCTAACTGGGTGAGGGTAGGGAGAGTACACTGGAGAGTACGGCGCACGCGAGCTGGGGGAGCGCGGCCCACTAGGAGTGCGAGCGGAGCCGCGGGAGCTGTGGGAAGACAGGTGGCTGGCGTGGCAAAGGCGACCGGAGTCCCAAGAGGTAGTGTCAACTGAGGTGACACCCTCCTCGCCCAGGCGGGCCTCGAGTGCAGCGTAGCGGCGTGCAAGGGAGCGGTAAGCCTCAAGGAGTAGGTCGTGCTAAGTGGCCTGAGCCTCTGAAAGCTCAACCATGCGAGTCAGCACAGGCTGAGACTCGCTATACAGGCAAGGGTACCTAGCGTCAGTGCAGCTAGAAGGAAGGCATGGGAGCTGCTGGAAGGTAGAGCCCCCGAGGCGGTGGCTGTAATCGTGGGCCAAGCGACGAAGTGCAGTCCAGGAGTCCTGGTACGCGATCTGGAGAGTGGGCCTGGCCACAGTGAAGTGGTGTGGGCGAAGGCCAGCCCCGTGTATACCTCCACGAGGGTAAAGGTACACCGAAAGCTCACAACGAGGGGGAACACGATCCACAGAGTACCCTGTGTACTCGGGACACGAGAAGCCAAGGAAGCGGGCGAGTTCACGAAGCTGAGCGACGTGGTGACCCTCACCAAAACCGTGGGAACTGAAGCTGGCATTCACTGCCATCTACAATTTTGAAAGAGGGAGAAAAGATCAGTAACCATTTTAGCAATAAACTACTGAAAATAAAGAAAGCAAAAAGAAGCCTTAGCTTTTCGTAAGTAGTTTTTGAACTTAGTATCCTTAGGGTCGTCCTAAACGTCGGGTTTCGCCCTAGGGCCAAACCTGTGCTCTGATACCATCTCTTGTCACGCCCCGAACGGAACTAGCCCGTGACGCACCAAATTAACCTGTTAATCGATACCAGTCCCAGGAAACAGTGTTGGTATCACAGGAAGATAGAATATCACAGCAACAGAGGTCTCTTTATTACAGAGTAGGAGTACAGTCATGTTGGGCTGCGGACAGATCCCGAGCTCACAACTGCATTACAAAAGGGAAAGCGGAAGCCAAGACTTGGACCAATCATCACAGGCGCGACTTGGGAACTAGACCGAAACCCTAAAACTCATCGTAGCCGACTTGCTCCTGGAAGAACTCCTCGTCAGCGGGATCCACTTCATCTTCTTCAGCAACTGGGGGGGGATTATTTATATAGAGCAAGGGTGAGTACAGAAATGCCTTGTCATGAAAGCCTCAAGGTCTCCAGACGTGGCCGTTCTGCACGGGCTGGGTGATCCGGGATAGTAATGTCGTGTGGGTAAAGTGTACCCCCTCTGCAGAGGTTACTAAACTGTTCGAACAGCCGTGCCCGCGGTCATGGGCGGATGTGAGGTGATTCCTAGCGTAGTTTTTGTTTGACTACTGCTTTGTGAAATTGCTATTGTGGAATGGGATCGATGTCTGTAAAATCTGCGGCTGATGGGATCAGCCAGGCCCGGGTGGCCGTTTGAAAGTTGTTGGCCGGGTGCCAACCTTGAATCAATTCAAAGATTGATACATTGCACATACTCCGACCGGACAAGACGCACTACCTCATCCGTGTCGTTTGAGAAGCACTCACTTAGTTGTTTCAAAAAGGAATTTAAATAAAATCAATTGCAAAAACAACAGCCTTTCCTTTGAAGCCTGCATTAAACACTTAATTCCTATAGCTTGCTGAGTACTCCTGTACTCACCCTTGCTCTATATAAATAATCCCCCCCCAGTTGCTGAAGAAGATGAAGTGGATCCCGCTGACGAGGAGTTCTTCCAGGAGCAAGTCGGCTACGATGAGTTTTAGGGTTTCGGTCTAGTTCCCAAGTCGCGCTTGTGATGATTGGTCCAAGTCTTGGCTTCCGCTTTCCCTTTTGTAATGCAGTTGTGAGCTCGAGATCTGTCCACAGCCCAACATGACTGTACTCCTACTCTGTAATAAAGAGACCTCTGTTGATGTGATATTCTGTCTTCCTGTGATACCAGCACTGTTTTCTGGGACTGGTATCGATTAACAGGTTAATTTGGAGCGTCACGGGCTAGTTCCGTTCAGGGCTAGTTCGGGGCGTGACAAGTGGTTGCCGGGCGAAAGCCCAGTCTTGGCTCCTTGAGCCCCGACGGACGGCGGCAACGGTTTTCCGTCGCTTCTCTTGTTGAAGACGTCGTTTTGGCATCCCCTAGGGGGCGATCTCGTCTGTGTTCCTTTGTTGGTCTAGCGGCGGTCGGTCACGCTTAGCGGCGGCCGATTCGGTGCTAGCCTTCTCCCGGGTTGTGTGTTGGCGCTGTCGGTGTGTGGGTGGTGGTATATTTTTCTTTTTCCTGGTTACGATCCTTTAGGGTTGTAATCTTGTAATTTTTTCCTGCTCTATCAATAGAACTTCGCACCGTCTCGTGCGAGTCATTCAAAAAAAAATAAGTAGGAAAAAGAATTAATCGGAGATGATTGATATGACAGAGATTATGACAGATAATACTACGAAATGTTTATATTTGTGAAAAAAACAAACATCTTAAATACTTAATAATTATATTTGTGGACATAGAAATTACCATTTTCTATGAGCCGGCCAGCTGGCGCTTACACATTCAACAGTTCACTTGATCATACCAGCAGTCTCCTAAAATGAGACAAAAACCGACAGTGCCAAAATTGTGACAGCCGGCATTATTACTTAAGTACTGCTACTGATCATTACACTATGCAAATTTCCTACTTAACCGCTACTTCCTCCGTTTCACAGTATAAGTCATTCTAGTATTTTCCACATTCATATTGATGCTAATGAATCTAGATAGATATATATATCTAGATTTATCAGTATAAATATAAATGTGAAAAATGCTAAAATGACTTACATTGTGAAACGGAGGGAATACTAGTTAACTTCACAATGTTGTCCTAATTAACTCTTCCTTATTAGCTGTCTTGAATTGGATCAGATCTGAGCGATGTGTGTGTGAATGTGATGCCAGCTAAACCGGTCGATGAATCGATCAAGGCCGGCCGTACTGACGGCGAACGGATCAAACGGAACAGGCATGTGAAGCCGTCAGATCTTGCCCATGACGTACATGAACACACGTACGTATGGTGCACGAGGGCTCTTCTTTTAAAGCTATGGCTCTTCTCTGCTCGTTAATTAAGCAATCGAAGTAATCAACTTGGGTTAATTAATTTAAGTTACACAGCTTCGTAACCTGAAGAACACTTGTAATTATCCTTATCATCAGGCGACACCGTCCCGACATGTAGTACAAGCCGTGAGGAGGCATTTACTTGATTACGCCGACATTAGATCTGGATTAGTGTACGTGCGTCTATTGAAAATTTGATGAACGGATCAGAGAAGTTTTTTTAAATTTAATTGTTGTTAGGAGTTAGGACTAATTAAATTGATTGATTAATTAATTAATTAGTGGGTGCTAGGCGATGGACGTGCGTGCAATGCAGATGGTGGCAGCTAGGCAGCTGGGCTTGCTTGCTCGATCAGATCGTTGTCTCTAATTTCGAATAGATGGATTCCCTTGCCACACCGTGGTGTGACAGCTAATGGCCATTCTGTTGTCTTCATGATTTGTTAATTGCAAGTTTGTGTGCTTATGTTCTTGCTTACTTAACAGCTCAGATGTTGGTATATTAGCTCACGCTTAATTTCAGTTTTGTAACATGAGCACATTTTAGCAATCCTATATGTATACTTTAAATTTTGGTCCAGTTTTGCTTGTCTCCGGATTATTGATTTAGATTTATTAGCTAAGTTAGATCCAGCTTTCAGCTTATTTATCGGACTATTGAAATGGATTATTTGTTTTACATGCACTTAAAAAAATGATTTTTAAATTGCAGGGCTGATTTGGTTTCATGCCCTACCAAACCATTGGTAGTGTCAAATCTTGGGTATGTTTTAGCACTACCAATGATTTGGTAGAGTTGAACTATATGAGTTGTATTAGCTATGGCAAATATTGGCATCAATTTAAACATATATAAAGTACTATTTAAATTGCCAACTATTTGGTAGGGCAAGTTTTGGCATCAAATCAAAACAGCCCGTATATTTGAAGTTATTTGTTAAGTTTGTTTCTGTCTAATTTATCTTTTCGATAATGCACTACGGTAATTTGTTCAACAATCCAAATTAAACGGGCCTAAAAAATATGGTACTAGCAATGTTCCGCTGAAAAGTTAACTGCATCTATCCATCTACACACTTTTGAATATGTAAATACTCCGACATTTCCAAAGTCAGAAACTCAGTATTACTAGATCACTTAACCACGGAAATCTGCGTGCTTAGTTAGCTAGTACTACTAGTAGTAACTAGTTACTTGCAAGTCTATAATCACACATACACCCAACGCCCAGTTTCCTGGAAGCTTCCCCAATTTGCTGAAGCATAAATGCACTGCATATTGTCAAGCGTTTGTCAAGTTGTCAACTGATTCACGAATTGAGCCCGTACCCAACCCAACCAAATTTCCTCCCATTTTCTGCAGTCCACTCTCGTGTCCTCTCCCACCATTATTAATTAATACTACTAATCTTTATTCCTCTCCTTTTAAAGAAATATTTCCCATAATTAATTATCCACCTCTCTCTCTCTCGTTCCGCATGCGAAGCAACGCAGGCAACTTCCCGCGCTAGCCTCAGCTTCCTGGCTGCTTGCTCCCGACCAAGCCAAAGCCGCCGTCACGACTGATAATTATTCCCACCTCGCTAACATCTTCGTATATATAACCTCGTCGATCTCTCCACCTATCCCCACCACCACTCCACGCAAACCCAATCACATCGCCGCCATCGTCGAGCTTGTTCTAACCTTCTAAGCTATTAGCAATGGCGTCTTCGTCGTCATCGTCGCCGTCGAGGCCGTTGCTCAGGCGGGTGCTCTCGTTCAGGGAGCCGCTGCTGCTGATCCCTTACATCGTCGGATTCCTCGCCGCCGCCTCGTCGGGATTCTTCTACAGCTACTCCTCCTTCCTCCACTCGTTCGCCCGGTCGCTCGTCCCGGCGGCCGCGGCCGGCGCCGTGGTCAAGTGCGCGTACTTGTCGGCGGCGGCGGATTCCGACGAGCCATGCTCCTCCTGCGGCGGCGAGGATGAAGACGTCGTTGCCGCCGTCGAGGAGGAGGAGGCTCACCTGAGCAAGGTGGAGGTGGAGGAGATCATGGAGCGGATAGGGCTGGGCGTGGGCGGCCATGGCGAGGGGCTGAAGGCGAGGATGGGGCGCGACGAGGTGTCGAGGCTGTTCGACGCCGACGAGCCCAGCTTCGCCGAGGTGCGCCGCGCCTTCGCCGTGTTCGACGGCAACGCCGACGGGTTCATCGACGCCGACGACCTGCGGGCCGCGCTCGCCAGGCTGGGGTTCCGGGAGGACGCCGCCGCGTGCCGCGCCATGATCGCGGCGAGCTGCGGCAGCGTCGACGCCAGGATGAACTTGTTCCAGTTCGTCAAGTTCCTCGAGACCGGCCTCTGCTAATCAAGGCTGATTAATTAATTTTTTTTCAATTTTTTTTTCCGTTTTGGGTTCGTTGCACGGTGCACGGCTCAGCTCGTGGCAGAAGATGAGAGAGCTAGTGGTGTGTGTTGCAAATTTTCCTCTTTTTTTTTCTTTTTCCTTCTGCGAGGCATGAGTTGGTGCTTTGTGCAACAATTAACGGACTAATCTGTCAATTAATTGATCATACAAACTTCTCTAATCTCAACTGTACTGTTAATTGCAAATTGTACATGGATGCATGGAGAATTGGAGATAGATGTTTCTAGCTTCTACTATCAGCTCTCTTGTGATGTTGACGGTGTGCCGGCCGGCCACACGAGTTCAAATAATCACAGTACATGACATTGATTAAATCAAGCGTGACGTTTTCCAATTAATTAAGATAATACTAGTAGCATTATTTGGGTCTCATCGTGTCTGCCAAGCTGGACCCTACACTGCATCTTCCTTCTTCTCCCTGTCAACAGGGAGGAAGCTTCCTCTGTTGGTACGTGCAGGAAAATCTGCAGCATGTTCAAGACTTGATGGGCTCTCGATGGAGTATTTGGCAAGCGCACAAGCACAACGGTCCAGGCAAACGCATGCTTCTTTTCGTTTGTTTTGTTCGTCTGTTTGAAAAATGAAGAAGAAAAAAAAAGGGTGAGACGAAGAATGAACGACGACTACTAATCGGCCGGTCTATGCATGCACCAAGAATATTTGTAGTACTGTCATGTCATATTGGTAAGTACGGGCTTGGAAACTGACAGGAAATTGGGAATATCGACCGGCCGCCATGCAAGTGAGAAGTCGTAATGATGAATTGGTGATTGATATTAGTATTAGTGTGGATTAACGTTGAGTAGTATGTTGTTAAGCGGCAGATTATTCAACGGGTTATCTTAGGTATCGAGGTCGGTTCTCTTTTATTAAGATTCCTTATTATATTTTATCTCGATTAGCGTTAACACGTTTTTGAATCTATTAGGGTGTTTCGTTCGAAAAACTTTTATATAAAAGTAACTTAAAATATCAAATAAGTCAAAATTTTCAAGTTTATACCAATAATTAAATTTTGAGTAATTATACACTAATAGTTTCTTTCTTTTACACTTAATCCAACTTTACCTCGAAAGGGTGAGAGCGGAGTCTTTATACTGAATATATTCGCGGAATGGAAAGCAGAGGTAGAGAAGATAGAGCTGTCTTGACATGCCTTTCTTCTTCCGGGAATCTGATCGTGGATGGATTTTCGATTACCCCTTAATTAACACGAGTGGTTGGGTGGATCACACGAGTCGACGACATGGGAGGCCCATATTATTTGGGCCGTTATTGCTTACATGCGGCCTGTGATTCTTGCGCGAAGACAAGACGGGATTGCGGCTTACGTGCGGTCCATACTAGTTGGGCTTGAACGTTAGTGCGGCTTCGTGAGGCCCAATAGTGTTGGGCCGGAACGGTACTCTGGCCTCTGGGCTCTGTGCGGGTTGGAACGGTAAGTGGGCTGACGCGCGGCGGCAGAAATTAGAACGGATAATAAAAATTAAGTTTAGCTAATTTAGCAGAAGGCCTATTAGCTCAGCTGGTTAGAGCGTCGTGCTAATAACGCGAAGGTCGCAGGTTCGAGACCTGCATGGGCCACTTTTATTTTTGTGGTTAGTGTACCTTTTTTTGCTAATATTGTTGTTTTTTTGCTAATATTTTTGTTGTTAATTTACTATTTATTTTTGTTAGTTGTACTGACAGTTTTACACCATTTTTTCACTTTTTTGTTAATATTTTTGTTGTCATTTTACTATTTTACTATTTATTTTTGTGGTCTATTTACTATTTTACTATTTATTTTTGTTAGTTCTACTGCCAGTTTGACGCTATTTATTTTTGTTAGTTGTACTGACAGTTTTACACCATTTTTGCACTTTTTTGTTAATATTTTTGTTGTCATTTTACTATTTTACTATTTATTTTTGTGGTCTATTTACTATTTTACTATTTATTTTTGTTAGTTCTACTGCCAGTTTGACGCCCTTTTGCACACACACAAATCCCCAACTGACAGTCTGGAGCCTTTTGCATACACCTAACGCCTCACCGAAGGACTGAGAAGATGAAGTTAACCTTCTCAATACACTGTACTTATGCATTAACCTTCTCACAGAAGAAGTTACATAATAAATCTACCTTAGTAAAGTTCAACATGCAGAACAAGAAGCTACTCAGTATATGTAATTTTTTTTCCCTTTTGCATCTGCAAGCTGGGAGCAGAGCACCTTCATTATCTGAAGCCTGAAGCATCCGTTATCCTATCCAATCCTAATCCTAACACACTCCCTCAAAATCTGAATAATACAACCCTCCTCTAGCTAAACAGCCTGGCCGCCGACGTCCCACCTACACTGACAGTGGGCCACACCTAAAAAATATCTGCGACACAAATATCAGCAATTACCCCCACACACTATATAAACCCCCACCTCTTTCTCCACTCCTCCTCGAGCCCCAAAACCTTATCTTCCCAAAGCCTCATCTCCTCCTTCCTCCCACCACCTCGCCTCGCCATGGCGGCCACCCTCTTCTCCACCTCGCTCACCCCCACCTTCCTCCCGGCCGTCCCCTGCCCCAAGCCCGCGCCGCCGGCCTCAGCCTGCTTCCCCTGCGCGCTGCCGCCGCGCGCCGCGCTAGCGGCGCCACCGGCGCCGCTGCGGAGGCGGCTTTCTCCCGTGGCCGTCGCGGTGTCGTCGGAGGTGGAGGAGGAGGAGGGTGGCGCGGAGTCCGAGGGGGAGTTCGCCGAGGACCTCAAGGTGTTTGTTGGTAACCTTCCGTTCAGCGTCGACAGCGCGCAGCTCGCGGGGCTCTTCGAGCAGGCCGGCTCCGTTGAGATGGTCGAGGTATAAATTACTCACACGGCCTCTTTTTCGAATAGATTCATAGTTTCATCTCGGTAAATTGGGCGACGCAATTTTGCTAGAGTGGACTAAACAGTCTATTTATACATGAGGAATCCACTAGATGAGGAATTACTGCAACGAATTGGTTCAGTGTTCTCTAGGATTTATATTTGAGTTTTATATGTTAATGCTCAAATGTTTTTTTTAATTGGTTCAATAGTAGTTAAATTACGCAACAAATAGATGTTCTGAATTCAATTGTCCAGCCAAGCAAGGCAACTACAGAGTGTCATGCGTACAAGTGAGTGGGTTCTTCTCATGATAATAATACTAAAAAAAACTAGAATATTAGGGAAGGACCTAATATCAAATAATTAGGAGGGATGAGGCTTTAAACCCAGGTCGTCTAGCCCACCACCTTGTGAAGCTAGCCGGAAGACCCCTGGGCATTTCTCTCATGATAATAATACTAGGTTCTCGTTTTCTTTTTTTCTTTTTTTTTTTTGTGACAGGTTGTATATGACAGACAGACCGGAAGAAGCCGTGGCTTTGGATTCGTCACAATGTCTACAGCTGAAGAAGCTGGTGCTGCCGTCGAACAATTCAATGGATACGTGAGTATACTCCCATGTTATATTAATCTCTTTTGTGGTGCATTCTTATAAGTGGGTTAATTAGTTATAGCGGAAATTTGTGCATCTATGCGAAAAGTTTAGTTCTCTATCAACTGTGATGTTGTAGTATTGATGGTTTATGAACATTGTGCACTTAAAATTAACTGTTTATGTAGCAAAAGGTTATACTTGAACCAGCATTACTAAAATCCTGAAACCTGATTCTCAGCATGACTGACTGCTTTTTCATGTCGTTTTGACATTTTGCTTAATGTCTTGAGACCAATCCATCAAAAATTGTTTCGTGTCCAAATCCCTGGCAATACATTGAATGGTTGAATATTAGTGATTAATCATATTATATTTCAAAACAGACATTCCAAGGAAGACCTCTGAGGGTAAACTCAGGGCCGCCTCCGCCTCGGGATGATTTCGCGCCAAGATCACCTAGGGGTGGTGGGAGCAACTTTGATTCATCCAACAAGCTCTATGTAGGGAACCTTGCTTGGGGTGTCGACAACTCGACACTCGAGAACCTGTTCAGTGAGCAGGGAACCGTGCTCGATGCCAAGGTCATCTACGACAGGGAGAGCGGCAGGTCGAGGGGTTTTGGTTTTGTCACCTATGGCTCCGCTGAAGAAGTCAACAATGCCATATCAAATCTTGACGGCGTTGTAAGTACCAAACATATTCTTATTTTAACATGTCAAATTTCACCATTCCAATTCCCTCTCAAGCTAAGTTGCTCGAGGTGATTTGTATATATAATTGCTCATATGATTTCAGTAATTGTAAGTATGCTAATTGATTGTGTGCTTTTGTTCTTTAGGACCTGGACGGCAGGCAGATCCGAGTTACAGTTGCAGAATCAAAGCCAAGGCGCCAATTTTGAGATTTTTTTTTTGGTTATGTTGATTTAGAGGTTGATGATGTGCTTCCAAGATGTTAGTTTGTAGCTTCTACTATTGTACACCAATATGGCGAAAAGGAAAATTGATGCGGTTGATGAGAGACTGAAAGTCTGAAATTGTACACGAGGGGAAGATTTTTCCCCAAAGATGCAATATGCACAGATCCTCTTGTTAGAAAGACCATCTTTATCTCTTCCAATCTTGTTTGATCCCCAATTTGGTTTCATCTCAGCCGTTGGCATGTATACAATGTACATGTGCGGTGGTAGCATATATGGATTGATAGTTGGACCCCTCATAGATTATTGATTGCGTTGTCTCACCATCAACATTGTGCCGTTGTCTCGCCATCAACATTGTGCGGCCATGGATAAAGGATGTATGCAGCAAGCAAAAGAGGAAGAAGACCCCAAACCCAAAGCTTATCTACCCAATCGATCATTTTGCGTAATGCATGTGCTTCCTTTTCCCCTCCATTGATATCTGCCCTTTCAATTTCATGCTCACCTCGTCCAACTAATGGACGATCGATGAGCTGTCTTGCATGTTAGAGTCGATCATCTATGGACTTTCATTAATTTCCCATGTTTATTTTTTTTTTTGGAATAATCCATGTTTATATGTTCATACTACTGCAGCACATAGCTTCAAAATAGTTCGAAAACTAGTTACTCTTTCCGTCCCAAACTTTATGGATACTGGTATGAAATTATTTTAATTTTAACAAGTTTTTTAGAGGATTTTTTAAAAGAAGAGTACTGTATCTAGTTATGCTCATTTGATATCGTAAATATTAGTTTTAAAATAAATCTAGTCAAATTTAGGATATTTGACTTGGAACAAATATATTATCTCTTCTTATATTCTGAGACAGAGTACTAGTTAGCTTTGTCTCTAACAATTATTCCATTCTTTAACAAAAGTTACACCTATTACTTTTATCATCAAGATCAATTAAAAATTAACTCATCTTGTATGTACAAAAATGAGGAAGTATATCCACGCATGCAACCAATGAGTATTAACATGTTACCTCGGGTTCTGATTAAAGTCTTGGATGTTTAGAGACTACAAATAAGAACAATTTATTTGGAAAAACTCAAATATAAAATAAGTTAACTCATATCGATGTAGATGGGAGTACTATATAAGAACGGGGAGTGGATTTTCATCCTTCGAGAGGATATCCCCTCGTTATTTGCATGTGACTCAAATGGTTATGAAAAAATTTGAAAAAAAATTGAGAAGATGTATTAACATGTGATATATCACTCTACAAACATATAAGTTCAAATTTAACTTTTACATCTCGCAACGAAAAAACAAATTAAACTACAACTAGTTAACGTATATTCACAGGCGCCGCCGCCGATGGCGAGGGATGAAAATAGTTTCCCTATAAGAACGAGCTCGTCTCATGATCGTTCACTCACCAGCGAGTACAAGCTACTCCTTCCTGCAAAGGAGATCATCAATGGCGCTTACTTTTACGCGCCATAGCTTGGTCGTCATTGTGGGCGCGCTTCTTCTCCAGCTCTTCTTCCTCGCCGGCTTGGCCCCGGCGGCGGCGGCTGCGGGGCCGACGGGGCAGGTGACGGTGTTCTGGGGCCGGAACAAGGACGAGGGGTCTCTCCGGGAGGCGTGCGACACCGGCTTGTACACCATGGTCGTCATGTCCTTCCTCAACGTCTACGGCGCCCGCGGCGGCGAGTACCGCCTCGACCTCGCCGGACACCCGGTGGGCTGCATCGGCGGCGACGTCAAGCACTGCCAGCGCAAGGGCGTCCTCGTCTCCCTCGCCATCGGCGGCGGCGCCTACTCGCTCCCGACCAACCAGTCGGCGCTCGATCTCTTCGAACACCTCTGGAACACCTACCTCGGCGGCGGCGGCGGCAAGGGCGCCGTGGCGGCGGCGCGGCCGTTCGGCGACGCCGTGCTCGACGGCGTCGACTTCTTCCTCGACCGCGCCACGCCGGCGGAGCGCTACGACGTGCTCGCCACGGAGCTCGCCAAGCGCGGCAAGCCGCCGCGCCGCGCGCTGCACCTGACGGCCACGACGCGGTGCGCGTTCCCGGACCGCGGCGCCGCGCGGGCGCTCGCCACGGGCGCCTTCGAGCGCGTCCACGTGCGGTTCTACGGCGGCGGCGGCGGCGGCGACGACAACTGCACCGTGTACTGGGAGGACGCGTGGGACAGGTGGACGGCGGCGTACCCGCGCAGCCGGATCTACTTCGGCCTGCCGGCGGCGCCGGCGGTGGCGGAGGAGGAGCAGGACGGCCGGAGCGGGTACGTCTACCCCAAGACGCTCTACTACCGCTACGTGCCGGAGTTGCAGAAGGCGGCCAACTACGGCGGCTTCATGATCTGGGATCGCTACAGCGACAAGCAGAGCGGGTACAGTGGCTACGTCAAGAACTGGGCTTGAGCCTGTACGTTCGTTGCATTGCGTTCACCTTAGCAAAATATTTCATTTCATCACTTTATGATGTACTAGTACTTCAATTTGATCTATGCAACGCGTATATAGCAGATGTAAGTGAAAGAACAAGTCGATCGAGAGATCAATCTCCGTGCAAGAATACAACAGTTTGAAAAGGGATCCGACTTAGCTGTACTGCCTTTGAGCCACTGAACACATGAGACATGGTGCCTTTGAGCCACTGAACACATGAGACATGGTGATGTGGGATCTACTTGTCAGCTCATTCGATTTGCTTCCGAACAATTTCAGTTAAATAATAACAAATCCTATCTTACTGTAAGATTATCTCCCACTAACTCTTTAAGCTTAACATGCAAAAATGCCACATCATCATCCACTAACAAGATGCCACATCATCATCCACTAATTAACAAGATGCCACATTATCATCCACTAACAATCATCACATTTAAACATCATGCAAACATGCTATATCTTTATAATGCTATATCTTTACAGTTTTTATAATTTAAGAGCTTTTCAAATACAAACATGTTAAATTATCATCCAATATAATTTACATAATGTTTCAATGTATATCTTTATTATGTTTTATGATATCCTATATACTTATATAGTTCATCCTCACTTAGTTAGTGCTTAAATGATTAATCTATGGTCCAAATTATCTTTCTCCTTTTTCTTCTAATTAAGCCATATCACATCAATTGTTTTTAGCCTTTAGATGATTAATCTACGGTCCAAACTATCTCCCTCTTTTCTTCTTCCATAAAGTCATACCACCTTACTTTTTACGTTTGAATCACCATTCTATATACTATTTAAATTTAAATTATCATAAACCACATTAATTTACTTAATTATCTAGCTATCTTACACGTTAAATTTTTTATTGTTATCATACTAAATCCCCGCAGCAATGCGCAGGGTTTCACCTAGTTCAATATATAATCATCTGGAGTCTAAGGGATAACTTTTTTTAGAAAATAATTGAATTCATTTTGACATTTGTTTCTCCAAGCTATAACCAAATTGTCACAAAAGTTTGCAATTAAAAAATAGATTCGATGAAAAATAAGAGAAGTAACTAAAATACCAGCCTAAAGATTGATGAAAAATCATCCATCCGTGGTTGGCATATGCATACTAGTTGTTATCCTCCTCAAACCATTACAGCATGCATGGTCCGAAGGTCGAAGGTAGTGGAGAAACTGTAACCATCGAAGTAGCCTTGTTCTTCAGGATACATCGTCGCCAAATTTTAATTTTGTTTGAACTCAAAGCCACAAATATAATAGCGCCTGATTGTTCAACTGATCATATTTCGAACACATCAAAATTAATCACCTCTTATCTAATGGCAACAAACTTAATTTATCTAGTTAGGGTCCTTTGCCCACCCAAATTTGAGTTACTGTGGTACGGATTATCATATTTTTCTGGAATTTAATCTCACGAGGTATTACAGCCGTACACAAATTATCAGGACGACGAGGCCGACGGCTGCGACAACCAGCAGACCAATCAGCACGGCCTCCACGAATTGCTGAAAAAGAAACAATTAATGTTATCGCCTAATCATTCCAGCTTATGAAGCTTTAAACAACCAAATTTAAAAAAGAAAAAAAAAATCTGTTTGAACAGATTGCATAGTACTACTCCATTTGTTCTATATTACAGGTCGTTTTCTTACAGATTGCATAGTAGTACTCAGACTTAAATATTTTAACACAAAACAGAGACATACATTAAAATATATTACATATTGGTTTTAATGAACCTAATTTGGCATTGTAGCCGCGCTTTCCATCTCTATAAACTATTCTTTTGAAAACTCTGTATCCTGTCTCCACAACTCTATAGCCCTCATCTCGTGAGAGATGGATTTTAGTCCACGTAGATTGGATTGAAAGATCGCACTTTTGCTCTTCTCCTATCGGACTAGTCACTTCCCACTCTCCTCAAGTGAACAGTTTAGCCACTATCCTCCCGTATACTCTGCTTTTTCATTGCTTATGAACAGGAACTTGTTGGTGCATGGATTTCACGTTTCAACAGCACTTTGGTTTGTGCATGGTTGTGAAAAGAAGGCTTTATATACACTTATATCATTATATGAACTTCATTGACGAAAGAAAGAGTTCAATGTGATTTATAATATAAAACGGATGTAATACTATTTATTTAATCTGAAAAAAAAAGAGAGAGAAAAATTTGTATGAACACCGAGAGTCTTACCGGGACATGCTGTTCATGTTCGTCGGGAGGATCACGGCGAGATATTCGATGCTGCTCGTTGCCTACACTCGTACTGCGAGCTTGCGGCGGACGATGGTCATCATCGCTCTCCTTCCCACACGACGGCGGCCGCGCCGCCGCCGTCGCCGCCGCGTACTGCCGCTCGTCGTCGAAGAAGGCCCTCATGCCGGCGTGGTACCACCAGTGCTCGCCGACGCGTCCCTCGACCTGCGAGTACCCGCCACCACCGGTCTGCGACCTCGGCAGCCTGGAGGAGACGGCGCGCCAGCCTCCGCCGCCGCCGCCGGCGGCGGCGGCGATGGCGTCGACGTGCTTGGTGACGACGACGACGCGGCACGGCGCCCGGCAGATGCAGCAGCGGCGGTTGTTCTGGAAGACGCGGATGCGGAGGGAGCATCCGGCGCAGACGTCGCCGTGGCCGCACGGCCCGATCGCCGCCCACTCCAGAGGCTCCGTGCACACCGCGCAGCTGCTGCTGCTGCGGCGGCGGCTGTCGCCGTCTCCGGCGGCGCCGATGTCGATGACGACGTGGCTGTGATCGCCGGCGGCGGCGCTGTTGCCGTCGAGCTGCGCCATAGCGATGAAATCTACAAGTACAAATTAATCTAGGTGGCCCGTCTGGAGTTAATAAAATATTCAATCTGTGGAGCACGGCTTAATCGATCGTACGAGGAAACCGTTATTCGGACGGAATTGGTCTTTGTTGCCGTAATTCGTCCTTTTGCAGGTCACACCGATTTTTCTGGGCCGAAAACGGCTTTGTGCAATGTGCACAATACTACTAATAAAGAAGTCGTTTAGGACAACGTCTAAGTCAAACCTTGGGAATATAAATCATTAATAACTCTCAAGTTATTGAGTTTGACAATATAAAAATTATATAAATAGATTTATCTTGAAAAATACTTTCATAAAAGTATACATATACACTTTTCAATAAATATTTTTGTAGAAACAATAAGTTAAAGTTATGTTTTGGTGACCGTATCGCTGTCCTAAACGACTTCCTTTATAATTATGGAGAGAGTATATAAAACCAGCAGCCCGGCCTTCGAACCAATCAAAATAACATGTTTAGCAAGACTTCAGCTTTATTTCTCTTACAACTAAAAACATGTCTTATGTTTCAGCTCTATCTAAAAGACAGCGGAGTGGGGTTTTAGATTATCCTTCAGCTTGCTCCACAACTCTATATTTTGCTCTTCGTTTTCGGCTTAGCTCTCCACAACTCTATACTTTGATCCTAGTCTTTTGTACATCTAAAAAGGGCGTGGAGCGGACAATGACAGATCTAGAAAATTTTATGAACCTACACTACTACAAAATATCAAAAACCAAGATTTGGCGTCAAGACATCTCGTCGATTACTCTTGGGCGAGGGTAGAATTCGACATAAACAAATCTTGGTTTTTGGAAGAACAAAACAGTTAATGGCACACTTCAAATTAATTATATGAATTTGTTATCTAACATTTGACAGAAAGTTTAGGAGAAAAATCGTCAAATTTTCGACCATCAGATAAGCTTTGAGATGTGTGCATGCGAGTGGGAAAAAAAATCTTCTGGTGGTGGAAATAAAACCGACGCCATGGGGCTGCATGCCCTTGCGCCTTTACACCATTGAGCTACAATATTTTTTTTTTGTGAATTATAATAACGTAATTACATGTAAGTTACAGTCATAATACACATTATACAGTTATATTATACATGTCTTGCGGCATTTTTTTTAATCAAATGTTATATAGCAGTACCTTAATTAGTGGATATACGGTATGAAGCCAATGCAAAAACTACTGCGTAATATACTTCGAACCAACGGTAACAATCTTAATTTGTCTTTGCGCATACAAGAAGTAGAATTAATCTACCGCCGTGGCACATCACACAAACGCCATTACGACGAGGATGACGACCACAACTAAAATAAAAACAAGGGCCTCCATCTTTTCGCGCTGCTGAAAAAAAGGCATATACAAGAGGTTAATTAAATTAACGCTTAATCAATTCAAACCTAACTAAATGGCTGAAAAAAAAGGCACATACAAGAGGTTAAATTAACGCGTAATCAATTCAAACCTAACTAAAGGCTAAAAACAAGCAAATTATTTTGAAAAGAAATTCGTTTTTGTTTTTAACAGATGAGTTGCACACGGCCGAGCTGAGTTAATTAGTTACTTACCGTGAGGAGAGATCCTTGACCATCGGAGTTGCTTACACCAGTGCGAGTTCGCGTCGTCGTCGTCGGCGGCGGCGGCGGCGGAGGAGGAGGAGGGTTCTCGTTTGCATCTCCACACGGCGGCGGCCCCAGCCGCGCCGCCGCCTTCGCCGCTGCGTACTGGCGCTCGTCGTCGAAGAAGGCCCCCATCCCGGTGTGGTACCAGTACTCGCCCACCCGTCCCTCGCGCCGCGAGTACCCGCCACGGCGGGTCCGCGACATCGGTAGTCGCGAGGAGACGGCGGGCCAGCCTCCGCCGGCGGCGGCGGCGGCGACGATGGCGCCGTGGCTGGTGACGACAACGACGCGGCACGGCGCCCGGCAGATGCAGCAGCGGCGGTTGTTCTGGAAGACGCGGATGTGGAGGGCGCATCCGGCGCAGACGTCGCCGTGGCCGCACGGCCCGATCGCCGCCCACTCCAGAGGCTCCATGCACACCACGCAGCTGCTGGTGGTGGCGCCGCCGACGTCGATGACGACGTCGTGGCTGTGATCGCCGGCGGCGCCGGCGCCGCCGTTGCCGTCGAGCGGCGGCATTGCGAATTGCGGGGAGGGCAAGGCCAACACGCGCGTACGTGTAACCGTACGTGAGAGATTGCCGGGCTCGAGTTGATCGTACGTAGCTAGGTTTCCATGTAGGCTACGTCGTCGTTTGAGCTATCCATTAATTAAAGCCCACCAAATCAAACGACGAGTCTCATCTTTTCTCTTATACCTATTCTTATCAGCTAAAATTTAAATTTTCAACTTTAAATTCAAAGCTAATTTTAAGTGTTTTTTCGTTGAAATTTTTTTTAGCCTATGCTTTTAGATTGCTAAGAGCAAGTTTAATAGTATAGCCCACTCCAATTCATTTATAGCCAATTCATACCATAGTTGCTTACTATATTATTAATATATGGACCCACATGTCATACACATATTGCGTCTTGGAGTCCGCGCTGCAGCTGACTACATATCTATAATCCACTGCTCTTCTCTCTTATCTTTTATCTCATTAAAATATGTTTATAGCTGGCTAATAGTCTGCTATTGTACCTGCTCTAAAAACACATATATAAAAGTTTTATTTACAAATTATTTTTTGTTTGCAAATATGCAGTTTCGCGTGAATAAACGAAGCGATGCCCCCCCCCCAAAAAAAATCTTTATGGGATTTGTGACAGTACGTCCGTATAATAGCAATCTAATCTCTACTATCTCTATTTCATATTATAAGTCGTTTTAATTTTCCCTTTAATTAAACTTTTTTAAAGTTTGACCAATTTCATAGAAAAATATAGTACTCCCTCTATCCCAGAATATAAGAAGTTTTAGAGTTGGACACAGTTATTAAGAAAGTAGGTAGAAGTGAATGGTAGAGGATTGTGATTGGATGAGTACTCGAGGTAGGTGGGAAAAATGAATGGTGGAGGGTTGTGATTGTTCGGAAAGAGAATGTTGGTGAAGACGTTGTTATATTTTGGGACAAATCTTAAGGGCTAAAAGTTGTTATATTTTGGGACGGAGAGAGTACTATTTTTAACACAAAACAAACATGTTATCAAAATATATGTTAGATTTAATAAAATTAATACGATGTTTTGGTTGTTGCTAATTTTTTCTATAAAGTTAGTCAAATTAAACAAAATTTGACTATAAAATTATCAAAACAACTTATACTCCCTCCGTTTCGTAATGTAAGACTTTCTAGTATTATCCATATTCATATAGATGTTAATGAATCTAGACATATACTCCCTTCGTTTCAAAATGTTTGACACCGTTGACTTTTTAGCACATGTTTGACCATTCGTCTTATTAAAAAAATTTGTAAAATATGTAAAACTATATGTGTACATGAAAGTATATTTAACTATGAATCAAATTATATGAAAAGAATAAATAATTACTTAAATTTTTTGAATAAGACGAATGGTCAAACACGTACTAAAAAGTCAACGGAGTCAAATATTTTGAAACGGAGGGAGTATATGTTTAGATTCATTAACATCTATATGAATTTGGGCAATGCTAGAATGACTTACATTATGGAACGGATGAAGTAATATAAAACGAATAGAGCTTTATTATCGATCCGTCGTAGTGTCGTAGAACAACCATCTGATTGGAGACTGTTGATGACTTAAATTACTTGCGGTAGCATATACCCGGCTTATTGGAGAAATCCGAAAGAGAAACAAAAGTTCTTTTACAAATCAAAACCAAGTCTAGATGAGAAGATTACACTACACCATCGTGAAGTAGCAATGACATCATTTCACAAACACGTTTAAAGTAACTGTAGATCTGTAGTAGTACAGTTCTAAGCCTTGTCCGATCCATTCAAATTTGAGAGTACTTAGCTATCCATTTGAACAATGTCACTTTCAGTTTGTTTATCACTACTCCAGTATGACTATCACAAGTTAGTCTGGATAACCTCTGTTCCGTACTTCCGTAGTGTCTTTCATTGTTTCTATATATGTTATCTTGGCTGTGTGTTACTCTGTTTTTGAATGTGAGAAGTACCAGAGGAGAGGAATGAAAGCCCTGCTTGCCCAATCGCATTTTGTTGGTCCCATGCCACTTCTCGATCCTTCAAGGCATGAGTGCATAACGATGCTGAATCAATTCAGAGGTCGGGCTTGTTCAATCAAATAAACCTTACTAAATAACTGTACCATTGCATTTTTTTTTCAAACTCTACGAAAATTGGATAATTCTGAAACCTTGCACTCACAAAAACTACACCAAAAATTGATAAGTATGTGTTCGCGAAAAAAATGGTAAGGTGTCAAAGCAAACCTCTTTTTATTCAAAACGGTAAGGTGTCAAAGCAAACCTCTTTTTATTCAACACCATCATATTTTTTTTATCTAATCAAAGATTGGGAATTCCATTTTTTTAAAGGAAGGGAATTCCAATATTTGACTCCATTAATAAATGGTACTCCCTCCGTCTCATTTTAAGTGTAACCAAAGTTTCCGCGACTTTGATCGTCAATCTTATTTGATTTTTTTTATAATTTGTATTTTTATTATTATAAGATGATAAAATATAAATAGTAGTTTATAATGTCAAGATATTCCCATATAATTTTGCAGCAAGGGTTCACATATTCTGCATGGGTAGTTTTTTTTACAGGAAACAGTGAACTCTAGACGAGCTCAATTTATAGAATCTTCAACTTTAAATACAATGCAAATGGTTTCAACAAAAATCTAAGGATTTTTTTAAACGTTTGTAATAATGACATCTATCAGTACTCCACCAAATTTCAACTTTAAATTTATTTTTGAGATATTTCAACTTTAAAATTGATGTGTAAATTGAGAAATATATAAGATTTGCGTATGAATAATTTCAAACAGTTAAAAAATAATTTCAAATGTGTAAAGTATTCATATGTCATCCAAAAGGGGTAACAAATCTTTCCTCTATCGCTGCATGAAACCAACAGTGATGCAACTGCACTACATACTATACATATGTATGTAGAACTGGACGATATTTATGTCCATACGACCATACAGATATATAGAGTATAAACAAACAAAAAATTACCGCCGTGGATCAAGATAAAAATGACATTCCGGCGACGAAGAATACCCCAATTATGAACAGACCAAACAGCCCGATAGCCTGACATTGTAAAAAAAAGCATCAAGGATTAATGCAATTATCACGCTTAACTCCAGCATAATTAAACTAAAATCCCTAAACAAAATGTTGAAAACATATTGATTCTTTGAACGAATTGCATTGAACATACAGAGTTACTTCCTTCGTTTCACAATGTAAGTCATTTTAGCATTTTCCACATTCATATTGATGTTGATGAATCTAGACTGACTTACATTGTGAAATGGAAGAAGTAATTAATAAACGGGCGATACCACAAAACCATATACCGTTACAACGGAATAGTTGATGTCAATATAATACCGTAGGTATCACATATCATGATACTCCGTGGTTATCTCTGATACCAAACATAATAGCCCGTAGGTATCTGATTTGATAGCTAGGTATATATCATGTTGAACTAGACATGATGCCCTCATTGATCATCATGACGTCAATTATTTTGTTGGAGTGGTATTCCGTTATCATGATATCAACTATTTCGTTGAAATGATGTACCGTTAATAAATTACTTACTGTGCCATCACATTGTTGGTCAGGAGGATCACGGCGAGCTCGTCGGCCATCGGAGTTGCCCACACCGGTGCGAAGTGGCGGCGGCGGCGGTGGAGGGTTCTCGTTTGCATCTCCACTGGGCTGTGGCGGCGGCGGCGGCGGCGGCCCTAACTGCGCCGCCGCCTTCGCCGCCTCGTACTGGCGCTCGTCGTCGAAGAAGGCCTCCATGCCGGCGTGGTACCAGTACTCGCCCACGCGTCCCTCGACCTGCGAGTACCCGCCACCGGTCCGCGACCTCGGTAGCCGCGAGGAGACGGCGGGCCAGCCGCCGCCGCCGGCGGCGGCGATGGCGTCGGGGTTGGTGACGACGACGACGCGGCACGGCGATCGGCAGATGCAGCAGAGGCGGTTGTTCTGGAAGACGCGGATGTGGAGCGCGCATCCGGCGCAGACCTCGCCGTGGCCGCACGGCCCGATCGCCGCCCACTCCAGGGTCTCCATGCACACCGCGCAGCTTCGGCGGCCGCCGGCGGCGGCGGCGGCGGCGGCGGCGTCGATGTCGATGACGTGGCTGTGGTGGTCGTCGTCGTTCGTCAGGTGAGGCTGTGCCGTGGTTGGTCGCGCCGGAGACGACGAGCACGCGGCGGCGGTGGCAGCGGCGTTCTCCACGTGGACATGGTCATCGTCGTCGTCGTTCGCGTCAAATTTTGGCATATCCGGTCAACGAGATTAGAGATGAGCTCGTAACTGAGCAGGCGATATATGCGTGCGTATATACGTATCGTCGAACTTGTACCGGACCTGTACGAATTTTGAGAGGTTCGTTATACATTTTTTTAAAAAATTTACATAGGAGTAATTATTTATCTACTTGTAGATGAGCCCATAACTACTATACGTACGTATATTCGCGTGCAACGCGCACTCACGAGCCAACCAAAAACCAAGTTTCATTTTGTAGCTAGCTACCACCCTTGCACGTAAAAAAAGCGTTCAAATTCAAAGTTCAAACCTGAAAACGAATACGTATGCAGCTTCAGCTTTAACCTTTATTACTACTACCGCTGCTGCATCCCTCGCTTGTGAACTGTGATATCTTGTCGCCCACTTACGCCTACACAACCACACAACAAACTCCTCCATCCTGCCAAGAACGAACGCTCCTGCACCCCATGTCTCTTCCCAAGAGCAGCGCGGACATGGCGGCGCACGTCGACGGCGAGTGCCCGGCGCGCGGCGGCACCGCGGCGGCGTCCGCGCGAGCCGCGCCGCCCTCCTCCAGCCGCCGCCGCCGCCGCTACTGCAACGGCGTCTACCTGGTACGTACGCTATCAGCTATCTACGCAACACAACCACACCTGCTGTGTTCTTTAAGTCCAAGTTCTAAGTCTCACTCTATCGTTTACCAAACGGTGCGTGTTTTAAAAAAAATTCTATAGAAAAGTTGTTTCTTTTAAAAAAAATTATATTGATCAATTTAAAAGTTTTTTTTAAGCTAATAACTAATTAATTACGTATTAATCTATTACTCCGTTTTAGTTTTTAACCCTCACCTAAGAACACAGCCGATAATTATTCCATCGGTTCTTGATCTGCATCATATCGGTGGGTGGCCGGGTTGATCATAGTTCGATTTGCAGGGTTTCTTGGTGTTCATCGTGCTGTTCGGCTTCATCATGGGCGCTCTGGTGGCGGAATCGATGGGGAATCGTCGCGGGAAGGTGGTGGTGATGGTGCTGTGCCCTCTGACGTTTGTGTTCTTCGGAGCTTGTATGTTTCACATGGAGTGGACTACTGCCGTTATCAACCATGAGCTGGAGATGATGGTTTGATCGATCGATCGATAGGGCAAGCAGTTTAATTACAAGTTTGGTAGTGCTACGTAGTGCTAGTTTCAGGCAAGCAGCGTACCTTGTAATTTTGCAAGTAGCTTCAGGCAAACAAAGTGTTGGTTTGGTATAGTGCTACGTAGTGCTAGTTTCAGGCAAGCAGCTACTTCCTTCGTTTCAGATTATAACACTTTCTAGCATTGTCCACATTCATATATATATTAATAAATCTAGACATATTGTTGACGAAAAAATCGAACACACTGGCCTGGGAGATCTGCTTAACTCCTGTGTAGGTCCAAAGATTAATGAGATGCGGGCGTGCCAGTCAGTTTGATCCTGCAACTGACAAGATATGTAAACAACAGATAAAACAGTCGATCGGCTGACAAGCCGATGTAGTGATTCCAGCCGATGTCGATAATAGCCGATGCCGATACCAGCCGATAGCGATAGGGTTTAAGCAATCGGCTATATGTCCAATGTAGATGATGATATAAAGGCAATCGGCTGTTGATAATAAAGTATAACAACAATATAGTCCAGTATAAACCAATTGGCTAACAATGACATGATAGAATAAGTACTGATCTGATGGTTAAAGCATACATCGGCTGGAGGTCTGTTGTCATAAAATCCACAAGATTAGATTAAACGATAAAATCTTTGTTGCGATAGGCTAAATCCAATATGTATACAATCCTTATAAGCCGATGCAACGCCCAGATAACTCATCGGCTGAAACCCCGATGAAACCCTTATTGGCAGTCAAAAGCAGGCTAGAGATTATAGTTCTAAGCACGACTTAGTAGATCAAACTTAACTGATGCAGCACTAAATATGAAAAGAAACATAATCTCTAGACAATCAAGCCGTTGACTAAGTTTTCAGGGTGGTAGATGTCTAAGCTAATCTAATCTAGCAACGCGATTTAGCCGATACCGGCAGAAACCCTAAAACGAGAAGCAGCCGATAGAGCTAAATTGATATGCTAAGACTAGATTAACAGAGACATATGATAAATAGGTAGGCAAATATATCATCCAAACCAGAGCAATCCAAGAGGTCGAATGTTCTGATGCAGCCTTGAACGACGCCGAAGTAGACGATACAATTGACTGGACCGATGAAACATTGGACTTATCCCTTCGCTGGAGATCGAAAGCCGATGCAGCCCCGCGTCGGGTGCCAAGTTCCGCCGGAACGTAAAAACAAAAGTAGAAGTAAAAAGGGTGGCGATGCGCCGAATTGTATTGATCGTGAAGATAATTACATAGACCCCGAGTGTACATATTTATACCCATGGGTTGATACAAGTCCTTGTCAGACAAGAAAGAAACTATCCTAAAGATAAAAGGAAAAGATAAAGTCCTTATCGGACACTAAACACACTTTCCTAAAGATAAAATGAAACTAACAAACTATGTCTAATTAATAGATAAACTGCCATGCCGCATCCTTATTGAACTCGAACTCTTCTAGATAAGCTTCCTTTGATTGATCTGACTCCACCAAGAACACGACAGCATGGCAACTTGATGACTCCCATCGGCTGCTTCCTTCAATCGGCTGATTCCAGTACTCTAAAGCCGATATTGACTCTAAACCGATGATGACTTCGGGCTTTACCAAATTTCACTGTTAACACATATATGTGTGCCTAGATTCATTAATATCTATATGAATGTGGATAATGCTAGAAAGTTTTATAACTTGAAACGGAGGTAGTACCTCATAATTTTGCAAGTAGTTTCAGGCAAACATAGTAGTGTTGGTTTTCAACTAGTACCTCATAATTTTGGTAGGACAGTATCAATCCTCACTCTCCAGGTAGCAGAGAGTCTCCTGGTGTTCTTCTCCATTTCTAAGTGTTGTTAATTCTGTCATCCATGTGATGAGACGGGTTTAATCTGATCTCTGCAACTTATAGTCCGATTGGATGAATGGTTCGTTTGTTGATGAGTGTTTGTGTTACAAGTTTGCAACGCCAGAATCTTCTTTCCGATGAGCTCCAAGCCTTCACACACATTCACATTTCACAGCCTCGCATCGCATGAGCGGATGAGCCTCTGCACGCTGCTGAACCAGCAGCCTTTACCCGCTTGGCCGCTTCTGCCACTTTCACAGGAGGTTCAGTGCAAGTGCAAGTGCAGGCCGTCCTGAATGCAACGGCTGCATTGCATAGAGACGCTTTAATTTGCCGTGTGTCCGAACAGAGGCAATGATCTGGGGTACACTATCGACGGCGAAAAAGCGCCTCCTTCTCTCTTGCAGCGACATGCACTACCAGCTTAGCTAGCTGCTGCCTGTTGATGATCGTTGGAAGTATTCGATCGGTACCTTTCTTCTTTTTCTAGTGTCTGCTTTGATGCATTTGACCAAAAAACACCCAAAAGACCCCAGGAAACAGCGGTGACCGTGAGAGCTAGTAGTTACTCCCTCCGTCTAAAAAATGGATAGAATGTGACACATCCTATAATAAATAAAAATTTGTCCAGATTCATTATCTTAGAATAGATCATATTCTATTTTAATTTGTTTTTTTACGGAGGAAGTAGCTCTTATGAAGGCCATGTGTGATGTAAAAAAAAAAAGAAAAAAAAGGCCATATGTGGGAAATTCTCTCATGTTCCAAACTGTGTTATTTGTACAGATTGTACAGCATGATCAATACATGAAAACTACCGATGTATCCTCATGAAAAAGGAAATGTTTTCTTAGCCCCAATCCTTACAAATTCATAAGACAAAAGTCCACTTATCCATCTATTTCTTCTAACAAAATCGGTGTAGAGACTGAATTTATTTTCGTCATTTTAAACTAAATCATGTTACCTAAGAAAATAATATGATAGATCGCCCTTGCAAAAGTACCCAACAACCCAAATTACTATCCATTTATTTTAAACCCAATAAACTACATCTTAACCGGGCAGGGCTCTGTATACCTTGTTACACCCTCTTATCAATATTTCTCACAAGGCAAAGCTTTTGCCTCTGTTAAAAAAAACCAATAAACTACCATCTAGTAATTATTTATATTAATTTTTTGAAAATGCTACTACCTCCATTGAAAACACAATAACTTAGGATACCTGCTATATTTTGAGAACGAGTAACTCCCTCCTTTCACCGAAAAGTTATTATATTTTGGAACGGGGTAGTAATAAAACATTCAACAAAATGTATGTGCGCTGCTGTGTTTCAAAAAAAGATAAATCCAAAAATGGTAATAATACAAATCGTATAGCTGTAAATCTTTACCTATTATAAAAGTTTGAGATGTTTTTGCCATATTATTTGGTCCATCAATTAGAATCCCAATCGCTTCCGTCGTCGTTTTTTTTTCAGCCTAAGCATATGTTTCCTTTTTTTTTTGTTCTCATGACCGTAACGCATCGTCGCCTACTATTCGTTTTTTTCGTCTCCTTTTTTTTTGATTCGTTTTGTCGTGTTTTTTTGCTGTTTTTATCCGGTTTCTTTTTCTTCATTGTTTGTTTTTTCCCGATTCGGTTTTTTTGCTAGGTCTCTTTTTCGCTTTTTTCACCCGGTTTTTTATCTCATCCGATCTGTTGCATGCTTCCGTCACCGGACCAAACCCTTACGCCGCCGCCACTTCGATCTGTCTCCCCATGCGTTTTCTCCTTCAACTGATTGCAAAAATCGATTCTCCACTTCTCTCTCATCATTTTTCTCATGATTTCTCCTTTCGATTCGGTTTTAAATATCTAGATTTATCAGTCACTAATTATGGTTGGCCGACCTTTTTATCCCAACTTTGTGAATTCATTTTGATTTTGGGAAAACGAAAAGATGATATTGAGTGTTCCCCGCCGACCGACACCCTTCTCCCCACCCATTGGCGAATGCCCTGATGTTTGGGTTGAGATGAGAGTAGAGGGGAGTGAGGTGGAAGAAGATTGCTGGTTGGCTTGTGGGGTCCACGTAGGCCCTATACTGACTCAGCCACCACGTCAACAAAACCGTTTTGCAAGATTAGGGGTTCAGGTCGTTTAAAACTCAACGACAAGATAAGGGACCTTAGATGAACTTTTTTGGGAGATGAAAAAACTCCAGCCTCATGGGCCTGCGCACATGACCCATAGGCAGGCGACACCGCGTGCACGCCCTCCGCCTCCCCAATCCGTCCCGTCTCCTCGCCCGCCGCCCTCGACTCCCGTCTCCTCGCCTGCCGCTGGCGCCGATCTCCATCCTGCTAGCAGAGGTGGCGCCGGCGTCCTCCTCCTGCTCCCGCCGCATTCGCTCACCGGTGAGCATTCTAATCCATCCCATCCGGCCTCGGCCTCGGCCTCGAATTTCGTCTCCTCGCCCGCCGCTTGCGCCGATCCCCATCCTGCGAGCAGAGGTGGCGCCCGGCGTCCTCCTTCTAGCTTCCACCGCATCGTCGCTCGCCGGTGAGCATCCCTCCCTACCCACACCTCATCAGGTATTCTGCGTTATCCCTCAAAAAGTTTGGGGGTTCAACCGAAACAGGGTTAGATCTGCCTCTGCCCAGCTCCACCTACTTTCAAGTTGTTAATTTTGATTTCCGTTTTTAGCATATGTAATTTGGTTACTGAATCTCATCCAAACACCCTTAGAACGAAAAATGTAAGCTCACATAATTTGTACTCATCCAAACTCACGTAAATTTCTTAAGAAGAATCTAGACCACAAACTACCCATAGTCACACAAAATATCTTTTTATCAAGGTATATTCTTATAAGTAATTTTTATTCCACAAAATTTTCTAAAGGACATACTGTGACACTTGGCATTAATCTAATTTAACTTTTTTTTCTTTATCAGGTTATAAATTTTCTAAGACATTTGTGCCACTTGGCATTAATCTAATTTAACATTCTTTCTTTATCAGGTTATAAATTGAAACCATTGAACGTACTTTGTCTTCCCGTCCCTAAAACATTGTGATATATCTATAATATTTTACTATTTTTTATTTTAAAAATAATTTAGACTAATAATATAGATATTTAAATTAGGTAATTAATAAATTCAAATCAACTATAGTTTAGAATAAAAAACAAAATGATATATGCCAAGTACAATCTAATAACAATAGAATGTTAGAAACAATATGAATTCAATATTTTTATAAATTTTAGGTACAATTCATACATAAAACTAAAGAAAAATATAAATTTATATATAATTGAGAACATAATAAAATGTAAGTTAAAATTATTAAAGGAAAAATATTATTAATAAACAATGATGTTGATCTATTACGTATTATTTATTAAGTGTCAATAATTGAAATGGATGATTTACCATGTGACAGATTAATTATTAAAATTATAAAATTATATTGTTTTCATCCGTTGCAATGCACGGGTATTTTGCTAGTAAAATAAAAAAATACTAGGATTACAAAATAACAAAATTACCTTTTTTTTTCTTTTGCAAATTTAGAATGGCAACAACCATGCTCAAACTAACCTACTCTTAAAACCCCTAATTAAGCCCCTTTGTCCCGAGACCCGACGCAAAGTGGAAAAGCTCTCCCGATACTACCTCCTTTCCTTTTCCTCCGCTCGGCGCGACCCATCTCCGATGGCGATTCCGGCGGAGGTGCGCCGCTACTGGCTGCCCATCCTCCTCGCCGCCGTCGGGTTCCTCTTCCAGCTCCTCGTCCTGCCCATCTCCTTCCCGCCCACCCACTACTACGGTGAGTTCCCTCGTCCCCGGGCGCCCGTTTCAAATTCCAGTTTCCCCCAATCTGGTCTCGTTTTTGAGAGATTTTGTTTTTTTCTTCGGTTGGTTGGATATTTTAGCGCTTGGGATCGAGAGGTTCGCGCCGGTGGAGAGGGTGGTGGAGGCCTACGAGCAGCTCTCCAAGGAGTGGTGAGTGTGGTCGATCCGAATTTGCTGATGATTTTGGGGTTTATTTCTGCGGTGTGCTTTGTTCGATGCAGTATGCGGAACCAAATGCAGTTCACAGGCCTGGTTTAGTGATATAGGAATAATCTAGTGTGATATGATCTTAACGTGCACATCTATTTGGAGAGTACCAGTTTGGTAGTGCTGATGTACTTGTCTGTGACGGATTTCACTGCTTTTATTACTGTAAAATTTAGTCTAATTTAGTTATTTCTCGTATGGGAGATGTTAGTTAGCGATGATCATACTTAGATATGCTTTAGATATGCTTACAAAAGAGTTCTAAATCTGAGATATCTGTAAAAACAATAATTTTTCTCACCTGAGCACTTCGGTAAGGTACTTTTAAGTTTTAACTAGTGAAATTACTTGTAAGTGGACGCCAAGCTTAGGTTTTGGTGAATTACGACTCAATGAGGCTCTTCAAATGCTTTCCAATTTCCAAACCTGAAATCGAGAATGCGTGTGCCAGTTATATTTCACTTTAGCAATGCATGCTACTTTAATTTCATTTTGCATATATCCATTGTGGTAAACTGAATGATTGTTTTCTCAATGTCAACTCAGGCTCGCTGAGACGAATCAGCAAACAACTGTTGATATTATAAAGGTAAGATCAAACCCCATTATCCAGTGGCTAGCCACTATAATGTTGTAAAATGCAGATAACTTTTTCCAGGGGAAGTTTTTCAATAACGTACACATGGGTCCTGAAACAGCCTTCCATTGTAAATTGTAATACCTTGAATAAATACAACATTTTTGTGTCTCCGTGGTTTCTATTTCAAAGTTAAAACTGAAGGGATTACATGAACTTTTGTACCACACATCTTCAGCCATTAAACCTTATCTATGTTCTTTTCAGATATGTTCAGGGCCATCCTTTTGTTAACATGGAACTTTGCAATCTTCTTGTATTTTATGCAGATTCGTTATGCATATGAACCTTATCTATGTTCTTTTCAGATATGTTCAGGGCCATCCTTTTGTTAACATGGAACTTTGCAATCTTCTTGTATTTTATGCAGATTCGTTATGCATATGAGCTGTTGACAAATCCAATTTTGAAAAGGGATTATGATCTTTTTGGTCTGGACCATCATAAGGTGGTTCTCTCTCTCTCTCTCTCTCTTTGTGTGTGTGTGTGCAGGTTTACGTGTTTGCACAAGTAACAAGTTTTTCTCAATTAATTTTTTGTTTCTGGCTAACCTTCACTTATTCGTTCAATCATGATTCATGGTAGGATGTCCTTGAGAAAGTCAAAGAACAGTATCAAAAGGAACACTTTTTGAAAATAGATCTCCCCTTGTTAAAGGATTCTTCAGTTCGTAAGTTGTCTATATAATTTCTTAGAATTAGGATTGATGTTCATTGGTTTTTCTATCTTAACATTAAACTATGTCCATTCCATAGAATCAACTGATTACGCCTTCAACGTACTGGGCTACGAGTCATTCATGCATACTATTGCTGACGAACACCCACTGCTCATAATGGTAGGTTATGCTATTACTGTAGGCTTCAAGTGTTCTATTTCACATTATATTCACACAGCTCTTAAGAATATTCTTTTGTAGGAATACTGGAAACAATATCCTGCTTCTAGCTGATTTTTGTTCTACTATGTAGGTGTATTCAAAGGGTAGTCCTCGGTGTGCTCAATTTATTGAAAAATGGAAGCAAATCGGTACGTCTTTCACATTGAATTAGTTGGCATTTGGTGCAGTGCTGCCTTTAACTACATGTTTATACATTTCATGAAAAATTAGAACCAACATTCTTCCTTTCATAGTTAGATATATGCTGTAAGGAACTGAATTGCAATAAATCCCAGTTAGTATTATTTATGTAGGATTAATAGAAATTAGAGTTGGTCTCTCCTTCCCCCACTTTAAACTGCCATTTTATATATGGGGCATTTGCAAATTTGCCACTAGTTTTTTCAATATTGCAAGGATACCACTCGAATGACAGTTCTAGTGGTTTTTTTGCAATTTTCTAGTGGCAGTCTTGCAATAACGATTCAAAGTAGTGGTAAATTTGCAATTGCCCCTTTATATATAGATGCATGTCAGGTTCTTCTATTAAAATGATTTGGATGACATAAATTTTTGGCACTTCTGAGCATTTTATTTTATTTATATTTTAAGGCTGGGATCCTATGTAAGGTATGTAAACTTAGAAGTCACCTCGGTCTTTTCAGCAGTACTTTGATGGATATGCTGATAGTTGAGTTAACAAAATCTCCTTTGCCAAATAACTTGGTGTTGTTAATGTAAATACAGCTACTTGCTAAGAATGGAAAACTGTATCCTTCTGTAGAGGAAAGCCCTCTGCGAACTGAAGTGTCTCGTATACCTTTTCTTTTCTCTGATTAAACATTTTATTCATGATTTAGGCAGCCGACTGGATGGTGTAGCAAACACTGCTATGGTAGAACTTGGTGATGTGCAACTGACTGGTCATTTTGCAGAACAAAGGTTCTCTAAACAGCCATTTTTCCGTAATGGTACGTCAAGTCAGCATTTCCTGTTAATCATAGCATGTACAATGCAACTGCAGCAAATCTGCACATTGTCATTTTATTTTTCATTCATTATTGTTACATAAATTTTGTCAAAATGATTAGGTACACGGGCATGATTAAATTAGGTCAATAAGAGTAGTTCATATGAATTTATAACTGGATTTACCGTGGTATCTAAAGGGGAGTACTCAAGATAATTGGCAGGGTTCACTATTTATGACCAAGAAATAAGGGGCCTTTTCAATTTGATGAATACAACCCAAAGACTTTCACAAACTCTCCCTAAAGTTCATTGTTAAATTTTTCTTTCCTTTAGTGGGAACTCGGAACAAAGCCTTGTATAAGTCATATGCACTTTACTCTATCTGTTTATCACATGCAGGTCTACCCACTCTTGTTGCATACCCTGCAGACTGCAGAAGTCCATCCTGTTACATGAGGTGACTATTCTAGTCAAAGTATTGATTTAGATTACTAAGAGAGTGAACAATCTATTCCTGTTATTTTTTCTTTTGCACAATGAAACCTTATGTCTTGGCTGCCTGTTCATCTTTTCCCATCTATTATAAGCATGGGATATATGATTGTAATCAATATAACTTTGTTTTCTATGCCTAGGTACCCAGGTGAGCTTTTTGTGGATTCTGTTGTTGACTGGGTGGCAACGTCAGTTGTTGGTTTACCTCGTATCTTGTACTATTCCAAGGAGACATTGGTGAGGTTTATGACTGGTTAGATTTTTTAAATTGTTCCTTTTGTGGCTGTCCCAAGATCATGCTAAGTCATAAACAGCTAATTGTTGTACAAATGAATTCTTAATTATCTCCATTCTTCTGTTGAGCTAGCTAAGATTAATATGACCTACTATATGTTGCATACAAAACTGCCTTCCTTGTTCCTTTGCTGGAAATCTTTCTTTTGTTATGCCAGTCATATTAATATTATCCATTTCTCCTGTTCTTAAACACTTAGATTGTAGTTTGATTAACTGAGGTTTTACCCTTCCTTTGTCATCCCTTGTGACATCATGTCTTGATTTAAGGATGATCTCGACCTACCAGCTGAAGTATATGACCATGTATATGCTCCATGCATTATTCATGTTGTATTGTTTGTTATTAGTTTAGAAGCGCGCTTTAGTTGGATAAACTTTTATCAAGAGGATTATGTTTTTAATACAAAGCTCTATCATTTTCAGGGGCCTGAGTTCATTGGGAAGAGCGGCCATCATAAGGTACATTTGATTTGCTTTACCAATTATTGTGTCATACACTGGTGCATCTATAGCTACTTGGCCTATGGAATCACTTGCATCATTGTTTATGTGCGCATGAGTATACATAACATATCTGGTAGAATGAACAATATTGATAGAATCATTTATAGGGATTTCTGGGTGTTTCATTCTTACCACAATTAGTGCCGCCATCTTTTGCATGTGTTACATAGGTCAAGGTTATCTTTTTCTCAAGTACCGGGGAACGTGCTGCTCCATTCCTTCGCCAAGCTGCCCAAGAGTATTCGACCTATGCATCATTTGCATTTGTCTTATGGAAAGAAGATGAATCTCAGATTTGGTGGAATTCGTATGTCCTCTTTGTACTACTTACTGTTAGACCTTATCCATTCCTTTATTGGTATTCAACTATTCATATGTTCATTCAGTATTATAATTGATACCAGTAGCTGATAATTTTATAATGAATCATGATTTATTTAGGAAATGTGGAAATTTATTCAGTTTATAGAAGGTATTTAAAACTATCAAGCATTTTAGCTTCCTCCATCTAAATCTGTTATTGAGTTCAAAGCTACTTACTGCACATCTGCACCTTTTAGATCTCTATTGACTATATTCATATTTGTAAAGGTAGTCATAAGTACTGCTACTAGCTGATGTAATAGTTTTCTAGTATTAACAGCTGATCTGCGATGTAATAATAGATTGGATGAATGAACTTAATTTTGTTTTGTTTTCTGTAACCTATGCCTTTTGCTTGCTTACTGTTCCACGACTTTTGATATGTTTATATCATATCAACCATGATGATCCATCCAGTGGAAAGTCCAATAGAAGAGCCTCAAGCTAGTTTTGTTCTTTATTAAACTTTACTGCTGTGGATCTGTTTCCTAATCCTTTCCACTTATAAACAGCTCCTTCTGATAGTGATGCGCTTAGATGTTAGATATCTGGATTTTGAAGTTGCTAAGCACCAAGAATAATTCTTTCAGGGGGCTATAAAGCTCTTCTGTGGAGAAAAAATGTTGGTATCTGAAACACCGTATGCAGAAATCACAGATAGGGGCTAATCTGCTAGTGTTCAAAAGACATGATTTTCAGATCAATGAGCATTTCAATGAACAAACATATTTCTATATGTCATGCACACAATTAATTTACAACGAAGTCTTGTTTATTAGTGTTTTCTTGTCTCTTTCGGAGCAGGTTAGGAGTGGAATCAGCTCCATCACTTGTTTTCTTGAAGGGACCAGGTGCCAAGCCCATTGTATACCATGGCAAGTTTCCTTTTCATATATAGCTCTTTCGTTGTTTGGTTTTCTGCATTGTTGAGTTCGAGGCTTACTATTTATTGCCTCTATTCCAGGAACTTTTACCAAGTCAGAGTTTACAAAGATAATGGAGGAGCATAAGCACCAAGGTACTAAGAATGAATCAGCAATATACCTACTTGCCATGCTACAGTTGCTTTTTCATATCTTTATTTAGAAAGAAAATATGTGCTCTCCTCATCATGCATCTTTCTTGTTTAGAACTCCCACAGCTAAGAAGCGATACATCTTTGGAGCTGGGTTGTGATGCCAGAGGTTATTCACGTGCTGGAAATGATATAGCAATTTGGTATTGTGTAATTGTTGCTGGTCGTCCTGGTATAGAGCTAAGTAAAAGGAGACAGGTACTTTTGTGTAGTTGGTACTTGGTAGGGGTTTATGTACTTTAATTATTTTTATCTTCATTATTATCTTCCCAATTTATGTTGCCTTTGCAATTTCAAACTTCTTCAGATTTTGCGGAAGGCCCAAGACCAACTATTTAGTGATGTCGATGCAAGTACTTCCGAGAATGTGGATAGTTCAGTTGTGGTATCAAGTGCCGCGGCTGCCTTAAAAGATGACAGGTTGACCTTTGTTTGGTTGGATGGAGAAGTGCAGAAGGTAGACTGCCTCACAATTCCAACTTTAATTTTTAACTGAGCTGTATTTGAGCTTGTGTTTTGTACTTCCTGTTCGGTGACATGATCCTCGCAAGGTTGGATGAACTTTAAAAGTTCACATTATCATTCCTGCATGAATTGAATGAATAGTCCTTTGAAAGAAAGAGGAGAATATACCAGATACTAGTAACTGTTATATGTGATATTTCGCTCTGCTTTTCCTCACCTTGTTGAGGAAAAAAAGCAACTAGGTGAGGGATATTTGTAAACTAGTTGAGGGATGGGCCTATTTCATGGATTTTCCTCTCCTAACATCGAGGTCTGGTATCTCATTACACCATTATATTACCATCCTACAATCTGGAATCCTAGAATGCTTATTAATTTGTCCATGCTTCCCATGTACACCACTGGAAACCATAGTAACTGAAACATTTTATATCCTAGCTAAATTAAACAAATCTCTGTGAAACAAAGGAGTGCATGACTACTTACTACATGTCCGCTTTCTACATTGTTTGCAGAAACTTTGTGCCTTCTACCTTGCAACTGATTACAGTGGAGCCTGTGGTCCTGGAGGTTTTGGAGATGATAATGATAAATCTGAACTGTTTATTGTTCGTTTCCAAAGAAATGCAACATTTGAGGCGTTGAAAGCTGAGAAAACAAATAATCTTATGGAGGCTCTCCAAAGACAGCATACCGCTGATGCCTCCCAGCTAGTGGCAAGGTATAAAGGCCCGGACGAAATAGAGGAGGTGAGCATTCTAATGATTTATTGAAATATGGTATATCTGTTTCATTTACTATTGGAATCATGTTATGTCGTGCAGTTTAACAGATAAATCTAAATACATTGTTAACTTGGTTGCTCATCACTAATATCGCAGATAAACAAATGGATCTCTCAGATTATCAAAGATGGAGATACTAGGGAAATACCTTACTTTGTAAGTATCTTAAAGCATTGTAATCAATATCTAAACAAATCCTTCTCCTCCTTTTAAACAGTCTGTAGCATGCCTCCTTAAGTCAAACAATCATCTTAAACTCTCTCTAGCATGTCTCCTAAAAAGGGAAAAACCAATGTGACATGAATCATTAGCTTCTGCCATAACTTTTAAGAGCAAGGATATCTTAGATAACTAGCTGCTAAACTTGTTCATACTTGATCCAATCTTTATGCATTGTATGTCCTACTTTACCTACCATCACAATTGGCACAATTCAATCAATACTACTTGCCTCTAAGCAATATTATATTATCAGTATCCCTTGTATCTATCTGACCATATTAATTTTGGCACCAACTGTAGAATTCACCATGTCACCAATGAATGAACATACACTTATTTATACTAAACATCAGCACCCAAGTTTCAGCTTTTTTATGTGGTTTTTCCTTTGTATCTAGACTTCAAAGGTACCAGATCTTGTGCCTGAGGAAACAAGTAAGGAATGGATAAAAAGTACCAAAAGTATCCGCTCAGCAGGAAACAGTGTAAAACAGAGGATCCAGAGCAGTGGATTTCATTTCGGAGATTACCTGACTGACCCAAGGATCGGCCCAGCTTTGCTTATGTCTGCATGCATTTCAATGGGAATAATATGGTACAAGAGCAACCAACGAACTCAAACTACGGAGGTAAGTGCGCATCTAATATAGCAACTCTAATGAGTACTCACTTTGAACTTTACTTACCAACTAAAACAAATATTTCATTCTACCAGCTTAGCTTTCTCATTTGTTTGCTCAAGCCAGTTACAATTTGATAGTGCAGTTTAGCATGAACTATTGAATCAAACCAATATTCCCTCTATCTCTCATGCCATACATGTCCCAGTGGCTCGTGTTCGTTACTTCTCATAGAAACTCAATTCATGTTTGATTTTTTTTTTCCTTTTGTCAGCACAGGACTATGTGTGCAGAATGGATCGTTTTCCTGAGAAATTGTAACTATCTGTCTCCATGGGCGAGTTTGTAGCCACTGTCAACCCTACCAAAATTTGTCATTGCCAAATTGTCAATTTTTGGTACATTTTGGCATTACCAAATTTTGGTAGCATTGATTGTGTTTACTTTAGTACCTTAAACAAAATTTGGTAGAATTTTAATAGTGAAAACTTCTAGAATTACTAAAGTTTGGTTAGATAGCATTGGCAAGAATGTGTTCGGTTTGTTGCTTTACCAAAATTTGTAGCGCGTTTTATTTTGATACCAACATGCCCTACCAATGTTTAAATTCTGACTTAATGTTTTGCCTCACAGGATGGAGCACCTCCTAAAGACAAAACTAAGAAGCGTCGTCCTCGTCCGAAGCTTAGCACGTCACTGTTTGGCCAGCCCGAGTATCCCGCTGACGCTGATCCTGAACCCAAAGATGCTCGTCAGTGGGAGATGACTGACTCTGATTCGGACTAGCGAGTTAAACTCTCTATAATCAATCCACCAATAGGACTAGAGATAGGACTAGGTAAAATGCTAATGCCACCAATATCTGCAATCTTTTTTTTTTAGAATTCCAATATATGCAATCTGGAAAAACTTCGAGCAGTTCATCTGTCTGTTCATTCATGTATCTACCCAACTGCTTGGAAGCGGACAAGCATGATATAGACCTCTCACGCAGTAATATACTGTATGACTGTATAAACGTACGTGTACTTGTCTGATTTTGTTAATGGTCGCCTGCCGGAACTGTGGAAAACAGCATAACAGTTTTGTTGATTTTTTTTTTGTAGATAGAAAGTATTTATAAAGTAACAAACTTACCGCATACACATCTTAAACAATGATAAATTCAAAAGAAAAATATTTATGAGTGGAGAAATTTGGAAGAGAAAAATGGGGACAAGAAAAAATAGAGGAGATTAGGGAGAGGATTGGGATTATCAGGAGAAAAAATGATAAATTCAAAATAAAAATATTTATGAGTGGAGAAATTTGGAAGAGAAAAATGGGGACAGGAAAAAATAGAGGAGATTAGAGGAAAAAATAGAGGAGATTAGAAGAAGAGGGAGAGGATTGGGATTATTGGGAGAAAAAAAAAAAGAGAAAGAAAACTGAAAAAAGGGAGAGATTGGGAAGGGGCGTACGCACTACATACCCATTGGGTTCCCTTATCCCATACCCACATCCGCAATAGCTAAATATGCCCGCTTAAATACCCACATCCGTCGCGGGTACAAAATCATCCACATATCCACACCCGTGCGGGTAACGGGTACCCATACCCATATAATTGACTTGTACTCCCTCTGTCCTATTAAAACCAACATAGTACTGCATGTAACACATTCTAGTACTATGAATTTGGACATACCTCTATCCAGATTCATTGTACTAAAATATATCACATCTAATTCTAGATTCGTTTTTTTCGGGATAGAGAGAATATCATTTATAGTTTTGTAATGTAATTGGTGTATTAGAATTGTAAACCATCAATATTTTCTCTGGCAACAATGCTATTAACATTAGCCTTCAAAGACGAGTAAAGAAAATCCATAACCACATTACATAATCAAGAAATCAAATAATAATTTTATATAACTAAATTAGAATAATACTTAAAAGGTGAAAGGAGTTTTATGCTATGATTTAGTAGTCGTTGGGACTTAGTTACTCATAGTTTAGGCTCAATCTTTGGGTTTTTTCACCCATGGGTTGGTGGGTACGGCCGTACGGGTGGGTAAAGAACGGAACCATACCCACGTACCCAACGGGTAAGAGTTTTCGCCTGTTAGTAAACCCATGGATCTAAGAGTTAGAATATGACTAGCTCCTAAGAGCAAGGTCAATAGTGCAGCCCACTGCGAGCTCCAATTACCTCCATGTCATTTTATAACTAATAGAGTAAAAACTTGTCAGGTGTCAGGTCACGGGTCCCGCCATCTCTAGGCGTGCAGCATCGAGTGAGGCGTGCGGGATGGTGTGGGTTAATCTGGGATAAGGATGTATAATAGTTATTCTAGATTAACATCGCATTGGATATGATTGACATATAACCAATTTAAATTTCAACTTAAACACGGATAACACATCAAAATTTCAATGAAAACATCTTTAATTTTTATAATATAATAGTAGAGACTAAAATAAGAAAGAAATGGCCATAAATATTATGAATACTACTTCCTCCGTCCCAAAATATAAACATTTTTAGCTATAAATTTGGACAACAACCGTGTGTCCAGATTCATAGCTAAAAGTTGTTATATTTTGGGACGGAGGTAATACTATCACATATCCGGATTCATCATTAATTTCTGTAGCTAGGCCCATATAATTTGTGCACAAATTCCCAATCTCTAATCCACAATTGCAAGCTACACTCTCCCGGCTTTAATCACTTTGACGTTACTAGTAGCAATCTGCAAACTTGACCTCAATAAGCCAAAGCGCACGCCAAGTCGCTAATACCACCACCGCCGCCCCGTGACGACCTCCCCTCCCCGCCTCCGATCTCCGGCCATGGCCGCGCGCCGCCCCGGATCGCCCGCTCCCAGGTGGGCGCCATGGCCCCTCCTCGCCGCCGCCGCCGTGCTCCTCCTCCTCTCGGCCGCGCCGCGGACGGCGCGCGCCCTCCGGTTCGACCTCGAGTCCGGCCACACCAAGTGCATCTCCGACGAGATCAAGGTCAACTCCATGGTCGTCGGGAAGTACCACGTCGTCGGCCCCGACCCCAACTTCCCCGACAACCCTCTCCCCGACTCCCACCGCATCTCCCTCAGGGTAAGCGACGACGAGCAACCGCGAATCGATTTAGCTAAGCAGCCATGGCGATGGCGCCGAGGGTTTTTGGGTGGGGATTGATGCGATTCGACGCTGATGCCGAGGGGATGGATGGTTTGGTTTGGTTTGCAGGTGACGTCACCGTACGGGAACAGCGTGCACTACGCGGAGAACGTGCCGTCGGGGAACTTCGCGTTCACGGCGACGGAGGCCGGCGACTACCTGGCCTGCTTCTGGGCGCCCGACCACAAGCCGCCGGTCTCCATCGGGTTCGAGTTCGACTGGAGGAGCGGCGTCGCGGCCAAGGACTGGTCCAACGTCGCCAAGAAGGGGCAGGTCGATGTGAGTGTGCTTCGTCTTCTTTTCTGCTCGATTCCTAACCAATCGAGTTCGTTTTCCGTAGTTGGATTGTTGTGTAGGAGTACTTGACTAGTTTTGTCACTAAGCAAACAGATCGTGGCTACTGATTTGTGTGTGACAGCATGGATTTAGGATTTTTTTTGTCGATTTCGGCGGTTCTATGTGGAGTGGATTGGGAGTTCATGGGATGAATATTCAGATAATTAATTAGATGGGCTTGAGAGTGACTTTTGTAATTTACTAGCTGTGTTCATCAATTCCTTGCCAAATGATGTTTGGATCCTTTAAGTTTCAATTAGAAGTTTGTTCCCGTTAGGTTTGGTAGTGATTTTGTGTGTGTAGGGCTGCTAGATTTTACTTAGGTAGGTTTGAGCTCTTGAAAAGCTGAAAGTAAGGAAATTATGCATGTCATGCGATGAGAATCTAGATATGAAACCTCTGCATGATTTTAGATGCTTCTTAGTAATCCATGGTGGATTTGCTACTCCCTCCGTTTCACAATGTAAATCATTCTAGCATTTCCCACATTCTAGATAAATATATATCTAGATTCATTAGCATTAATATGAATGTGGGAAATGCTAGAATGACTTACATTGTGAAACGGAGGAAGTACTTGAGAAATCTGTTTAGCCAAGTGATTGATAAATCTCTCCGCCTGAATTGGACTTTTTGATGTCTGAATGTTTGTTTGGATTGTTTATATATTGATGATATGTTTTTGGATTCCGAATATATGTTTTGCTGTGAAAGCATACTAGCCAATTCTTCCTCGGTTCAGTTGAATTTGTTTCCATGTAAATGAGGAAAACGGCTGATTCTCAGTAGCCAATAGACTACCCTTACTCTTTTTGGTGGAGTGTGCACGTCTTGATTTTATACTATATTTCTGGATTGATTTAAATGATTGACATTTCAGTTGTTAGTTGTTTGAAAAATTTAATCGACATGTATCATAAGTAGTGGCATCCATACTTATTCAGGTACTATTAGAGGTGATCTACAATAGAGCTTGAGCTTTTCAGGATTTCGATACATGGCCAATATATGTGTCCGTTTTGATCAAAGGAAGACTCATGCTTGCTGATTCTTTTCTTAGTCTCTCATAAATTGGGCATTGTCAAGTAGCTTAACTGACCATCTAGGAATTGTGCTAATAAATTTGGTGTCAGGTAGTGTTACCACGTTAGCCCTGTGAGCACTACTCACAAGTCCCTAAACATGTCTGATTTTGTGAGAATATCAGGGCCAATACATGGGCCATGTTATCTGCGAGAGCAGTTGAGCACTGGAGTAGTGGGGTATTATCTTTCAAAGTAGCTTACAGGTGATGAACAAAATGATTTGTATATGTATTGCAGGTGATGGAGATGGAGTTGAAGAAGCTAGAAGAAACCATCAAATCTATCCATGAAGAAATGTTTTACCTACGTGAAAGGTACTACATATCATTGTGACGTTGTCTAACATTATTGCACTAGTCCAACCTACCTTGTGTCTGGCAATCCAGAAATCATATGTTTGACATATCATTTGTCCAGGGAGGAGGAAATGCAGAACCTGAACAAGCAAACGAACTCAAGAATGGCATGGCTCGGGTTCCTCTCACTCGGAATCTGCCTATCCGTCGCGGGGCTGCAGCTGTGGCACCTGAAGACCTTTTTTGAGAGAAAGAAGCTTCTGTAGTTCTTCTCCAAGATCAAAAGAATATATTGCAGCACGAAAGCGGCTAGGTGTACTTTTTTTTGTGTCAAGTTTATGTTGCTTAGCGATTACTTGTAAGCAACGATGTGTATTATACTCTATAAATTATATTTAACCGTGCGCCCTAGCTTTGTCCAGTTGAAAGTTGGAACAGTTGTAAAATGTCATCAGGTTGATCATCCCAATATCTTCTTTACTCCAAGGTTGCCGTGGATTTCAAGTGTCTTGGAAGGACAGCATCATATGAGGCCTTTTCTCATGTGATTCTAATCTTGCTCTGGAGATCACAAAAGGAGCATCCGTTGAAGATCTGCAGTTTCAAACCACTAACTCTAAGATTCTAATCTTCCAAACAATTCGAATTGAGACAGAAAAAAATGTCATTATTTGTCATATGCATACGATTCATGAAAAAAAAAACAATACAGAAATAGAAGATCAAAAAGACTTCCAGCTCCGATTCCCTGCCGCAACATTTTTTTTCATTTCTAATCAGTAATCTGTTAAAAGGAGTCTGATTAGAGCATACAAAATCTGTTAAAAGGAGTCTGATTAGAGCATACAAGACCAAAATACAGTTCTGTTTACAAAGTTCACAAAGAACTAGCTTTTTTTTAATCCCCGTAAAAGAAGTGCTTTTAAACAGATTACATGGCACATTTACTTCCTGTATCCACTGTACTGATTCTCAAGAAACATAAAAAGAGCAGGGAACCTAACAACAATAATAATTGTTCAAGAAAAAGAAAAACAAGATATCTGCTTTAGCAGAACAGTACCCATTTTGACCCTTCCTTGGGGCCCTCTAAATTTTGTACATGATAAAATGTCAGGTCTCCCATGAATTCCTCACTCGTAACACCACGCGCAGTAGCAATCGATCGCGATGAATAGACAGACATGAAGCTATTACTGGGAGAACAAATGCCAATGGTGATCGTGCGCAGCTAAGTACTCCTTGATCTTCTCGAGCCTCTTGAGGATCTCTAGGAAAGATGGCCTCAGATGGATATCCCCGGACCAGCATAGCTCAATTAACCTGCAATGAGGAAATCCATGTTAAATTAAGGCGATCAAGTGATAAGAGACTAGTTGAAGTAAGCATGGCTGTTGGAATGTTTCAGGGTTTTGTTTTAGCTTGCACGTACTCCTTTAACTCGTTAGTAAATCCCTTCGAACGAAAGGGTGGGCGATGCCCTTCTCCCACATACTTTGCGGCTTCATAAGGTTCATAGTTAGAGAAAGGTGGATCCCCTTCAAGCATCTACAATCAGAGGAACATTTTGTCATCCAGAACAGAAGTGATCATACGATATAACTTGCTACTTGGTGCTTGCTTGCAAGTTTTAGGTGGCAAAGTTACCTCGTAAAGTATCATAGCAAACGAGAAGACATCAACTTTCTTGTCATATTTCCGGTGTTTGAATACTTCAGGAGCCATGTACCGGTCTATGTGAATACAGAAATCAAACAAGTTGTCAAGATGAATTCGAAAGAAGAGATATGAGGAAAGATAGTATAACGCCTGAACACTTACAGCTTCCAGTCTCCCCAGTCATCTTGTACACATCATTGGCATGCTGGGCTTTGATAATCTTGCTAAGACCAAAATCTCCAACTTTCAAGTGATTGGCAGCAGAATTTACTAGAAGAATGTTTCTGGATGTCGACACAATAGATTAGAGAGACCAACCCAGGAAACTACTTGTATTAGCATAACCACAGAATTCAGCATACCTTGGTTTTAAGTCCCGGTGAATTACAACATTAGGTTCATTATGAAGATAGGCCATGCCCCTGCAAGATACAGGTGATTGTGGGAAAAGAACACGTGGGTCAATGTTCAATAATTAGAGGGGGGAAAAAGACCACATGATCAATTAAGTTAGAATCCACTAAAGGCTTTGTTCAGTTAATCCCACCAACAAGGGTATTGAGGTGTGGAATTAATCCCTCTTAATCCCCTCCGGATTAACTAAACAAGGTCTAAGGGTAATGCATGATGGTTCAAAGATGTTATAGTGTTAGCACTATAACTAGAAAATATTATGATCGTGATGATACGCTCATTTCAAGCTGAGTTTATAGCATTTACTACATTAGTGATGTTGGCAGTTCAAATGGATCTAATAGATCATTGACTTGCATTGGTCTTACTGATCACTTGGATGCCAAGAAACTTTGTGTAAAGCAGAGGTGTTATTCCATTAGCCAGTATCCTAAAGATGAATCTAACTACAGTCCATAAATAGGATTTTTTTTTATAACCATAGCCTCAAGTGCAGAACTAGAGTATAATAGAGAATCATTTTACTGTCAAAAGGGTATAGTTTTTTAGCAAACGAAATTCTTGCACAAGTCATATTTTCATCCAGATTAGGTGTTTTATAAGGCTAAAAGCACATCTGCACGTGAGAGCTGACAATACCTGGCAATGTCTAGTGCGAAATTAACAGCAGTTGCTGGGGCAAGTGCACCTTTCTCCTTCAGGTATTGATGAAGGTCGCCCTGGAAAACACATTTGAACTCAGCATTTGCGAGTATTCCAAACAGTCCAAATGACAAGATATTATTACAAAAGAATACGCACTCCTCGTAAAAACTCAGTAACGAGCATTAAAGGCTTGGTTTCTGTGACTGCTCCAAGGAACTGCACAATATTTGGATGTCTCAGCTTTATTAGCAAGTTGACTTCATGCTTGAAATCTTGTCTGCATACCCCAAAAAAACTGATGAGGAATCATTCCAAGAAGCAAACATGTTACACAAAACTAGAACTGCTTCTATTCAAACCTTGAATATTAGTTAGTTAACCAGAATACATGCAAAGTACATGTCCTAGACCCCTAGTTATTCAGTTGGAATACTCCAAGATTAATAAATATTAGTGATTAAGTAGATATAGTTCACTTACATCACCAGCCTGTCATCAGATAGAGATGGAAGAATGCGCTTGACAGCAATAGGTGTTCCTCGCCAGTTGGCTTTCAGAATTTCACCAAAAGAGCCCTGCAGTAGTTGAGATGTTTGGTTAACTCAAAATAACACAACATTAAATGGACTAGTACATGGTCACAATGCAATGGGTATGTTCATGAACTTCCTAGTACGGTTAACTTTTATTTTCATTTGTTTATTTAAACAGCCAAAACGATCTTTTATGGCTTCAAGCCATGCTTAACAGTTAAACATCTGTTAATATCCGCTCATGTATACCAATTTCTGCCTCTCAATAGGCCAGTTCAAGAGGTACAAATCCAGTACCTCTGAATCTCAGTTGGCAAAATATTCAGAGAGTTAGACAGTAATTAAAAAAGGTTTTGATTTCATTGTAGTAGGAACAAACCAAATGCTGCAGAAATTGAAACTTCAATATGTTAGTGATCAAAATTTCTATCTAGAAATGAAAACTGAAAGCGCACAGCTGGCTCACAGCTAATATAATGGCAAGTTTTGAACACCCAACTATCTCTATTTGCATATAACATCTAAAAAGATCATCCTGCAATCAATTTACATCAATTGTGTGATCGATTCTCAGTGTCAGTGTGTCACTACTTCCTATGGATAACCCCATTCAGTTTACTTTCATAGCAATGGTCATGTTTTCTTACCAATGATTTGCATGAAACTAAGATAATTAGGGAATTATATACCTTTCCGATGATAACAGCTTTTGAGAAATCCAACTCAAGAGGGTTAATCTCCCAGTCAGCCTTGTTTGTTAGGGGTGGTGGAATTGTCTTTGGTTCAAAATGACTTCCAGTTTTCCCCTACAGGAGAAACAAAATCAGAGGAATCCAATGTATTTGAGCACAATATCATACTGCATAAATCAATAAGCACAAAAAGATTAATTAGAAATTTCTACCCTAAATAGAAGATTTATTTTAACTGCATGGAACATAACAATGTAGTTGTGCTCAAGATGCACCAAAGTTGCACATGAAACGAAAATAGCAAAAAAGGTTCTATAAAACTCATTCATAGCATATTCGGTATGATTCCAAAAAGAACAATATCACAATATCAGCATCCATAGCATATCCAGTATGATCTCCAAAAGAACATCATCAGAGCTTTCATTGACAATGATGAATTTGTTGTACATACTGCAGTTGCTAGCTGATGCTTGTGTAGCACCACCACAACTGAATCCTTTGGTAACTCGTCTAATATTACGCGAAAATTGCCACTGGCACATCCAAATACCCTGTTTCTACACTAATAACAATATTTGCGACCATGTGCCTGGATCAAGCTTATAAACATTATGCCAAGAACAGCTGCAGAGCGATATACAGGGAACTCACCCACTAATTCCATAACATAGAGTGACTGGTGGAATCGGAATACCTGGTGTTCAAGTTAGAAATTTAGTAATGTTGAGCTAACGGTTAAACCTAAATTCCCCTATTACTTTGCTAGGCAAATAACCAAGACAGACTCTCAAACTGAACCTAAGTCAATGGCCACGTACATATGTCAATCCACCATGTTCCTTGAGTAGCTCGATCATAGCATGCCTCTTTGCACCCTCCGCATCAGCAAGTGGCTGTACAACAAGCAAAAGTCAGCATTATAAACTGCTATCCCAAATACAACCACAGTATTACAGTTGACTGAAATCCCACTGCATGCAGAACAAATCAGCAGACCAAACACAAAAGCTCTGTCCAATAACACGTGATAGACCATTTTTCCCATCAAAACTTATCACCAAACCAAATCAGCAATTTAATGGTCCAATGCACTAAATGGAATTCGGCGAAATGTACTATATCCAAGCGATTAATAGCAAACAAGGCTGAAACTCGATGAAGAATTCATTGCAGGAACACGCATTCAATAACGAGCATAGCACTAGCCCCAAGTCAATCCACAGCATAAGCTTCAAAATTCGTCAAACAAGCAAGCTCTAACCCTACCCAAAGCGATCCCCAAAATCCAATCGAATCAAAAGCAGCATATTGCAAACTAAGAACCGTAGCTGATCGCTTTCTCTCCGAAACCATCGATTCGTCGCAGAACAAGCCAAATCCAATCCGAACAAAAATCCAAAAATAGCTCAAACCGAATCCCCAATCCGGATCATTTCGATACACCATCCCGAACAGAGCCCAAGCCGCGGCACGACCCCAAATCCAATCCACACCGACGCAACACGCCCTCCATTTCCAGCGCGCGCAGACGTCG